TATAGACACCATCCTTTCCTAGATAACTATGCTATCCAATTCATTTTATTTATTCAATAAATATTTGCTAAGCAACTCCTAGCTACCAGACAGTGTGCTAGGTATCAAGAAGGTATGCAAAGAAGAAGCAATCACTGCCCATGAGGTATTCTGATACAAGGCATGAATACCAGCCTTAGAAATATCATTGCAGTACTATGAGAAAGTTGCAGGGTAATGAATATCCAGAGAATTTATGAGCTTACTACAGAGGCTTCCTAAACTGGAACCTATAGTTTTGTATCATTTTCTACCTGAAGAGAACATAATTAAAAATCCTGAGAATTCTGTAGCGGGATGTTTACTGAATCCTAAGATACATCTAAGGACGCAGCATGCTAAGAGTTGATTTGAGGTTCAGAAAGAACTCAGCTCACTTACCACTTGCAGGAGTGAACTGCCTCCTTGAGCTTCTGTCCCCTAATCAGTGAAGAGGAGATAATGGCTTCTGCCGGCTAGGGTAACTGGGAGGCTTTAGAAAGACAATAATGGCTGCCTGTTCTTAAGTGGCTCTTGTCTATGTGGTCCAGTGATGAGTGCCTTATATCCTTTTCAAAATCTTCAAAATAACCCTGAAAGATAAGTCTCAGTACTAGAGCCAAAGGGAGACTAGAGTTCATACTTCAGATCACGAAGCTTGAAACTGATGGGATTTTTCCAGATCCAGAGCTATCAGACTTGGCATGTTCCAAGAATTTAAAGGGTGTCGGAAAGTTCTTAGTATATAGCAGGTGCTTAAGATATTTAGGCTGCTTTATATTGTTATTTGTCCTAGAGATCTAAAATATCAGGATGTACTTTATAACATGTCACTGTTTCTCTTATATCAATGACTAATGGATTCCAAAGCCTGCATTTTTTAAGTATAAAAATATAAATTTAAAGAAAAGAGTCCATGCCATGAAAAGAAAAAAAAACATTAAAAATAAAATAAAGTTGTGAAATAGGTGCTCAGGAGAGCATGTACCCTAGAAGTCAATTGATAGTAATCTTGGAACAAGGTGCAGGGCTTTCTTCAAAACAATGTTGAATTATACTACTCTGAGTATAAAGGAACATTACTATGCACTGAGTTTTACTGTAAAAATATGACCAGAATATTTGAAAGGAATTATGATGAGAGAAACCTGAATTCCACCGATACTGTCAAGTAGGCTATATCTTTTCTTATTTAAATAGAAAATATACACATTGTATGATTCTAGAAAACTGAGTTATAAGTTGAATTTTTCATAGAATTCAACTTTCTTGGGAAACTGGATGTTTAAGTCACGAAGAAAGAAAAGAGTATGCAAACCTTTAGGTCAGTAAATATCCACTGGTCACTGAGCTGACACAGAAAATAGAACAAGCATGAAAATATCTAACAAGGCAACTAAGATCATCAAGGCATGAGTGCCACAAAGAAAAGCAGATGCAAAGAAGTATGAGGAAACCATTAATATTTGTAAAAACTAAAACTGTAGCTAAATTTTTATCACAGAATATAGCTAGAACTCTTCCAACATTGATTTGTAAAGCTGTTATTCTTATCAATGGAAACTTCATCATTATAAGAAGATGTACTTGAGACTATGAACAAGGAGGAATTGTGTGTAGAAAATCAAGCTGAGCCTGTGTCAGAGATGTGAGCTGTTAAAGGCTGCTTTAGTGTTCCACCCGACCAGAATGCAGGCCATCATTGCTATGGTGATTTCCTACAGTGCCAGAGTGGCTGTTTCAATTCAAAATGATTACCTGGCACAGAATACATTTGCAATTAATATCTGAAAGTATGAAGGCTTCTATATCTCAGCATCCAAATTTTTCATTTGCATCCATATTTATTGCAGAGTCCTCAAGCTTTGTTATTCAGGATACCGCTTATGAACCTGTGTGAGATATTTCAAAATATTCTTGGGTTATATAACGTTGATAACAACCACAACTTTATATTTTCCTTATTTTTTTGGTATGTCTTAGAAATCCAATTCATTGAAATAAAACCCATTCAGAATCAAGTACTGCTCATCCAAACAAAATATGATGATAAAATCTTCAATCAGTTAATGTATCATCTTTTCCAATGAGACCTGTATGACACAGGCCTTGATCCTTAAAACATACTTTACATAATGAAGGTATCTGAATGAAGAAACATGAAAGGATTTTGACTAAAAATCAAAAAAGGATTGTGTTGGAAGGACATGAGCTAATTTATCTCTCAGCCAAGGAACAGTAGCAACTTTGATAGACATTTCTAGCAACATGGGAAAAGATAGCTCACTCAAACTGAGTCAAGATCCTCTCACAAGATGAAGGATAAGTGTAGCTGCACAGAAAAAATAATCGTCAAATGCTCATAGCAAAGTAAAGGTTTTTGTACTTTGGGTATCAGATACCTCAGATGAGAATGTATTTCTTGTCTTTGAAAAAAGAGAAAAGCTTAGAAAAGAGAAGAGATTCAGGCACAGGATTGAACTCAACTAGGAATCATCTGAATTCTAGAAAAGAAGGAGAATAGGGACAATCAAGATCATAGGACTAATGATTTCCAACTTAAATATGAACGTGTAAAACTTTGGGGATTGCTTTATTTCTGTTTATCTTAGCTTCTATCACTTGGTTGGTGGTGTTGTCTTTTAATTATTACAGTTATAAATTTCTATTTACTTGTATTATGATGCAATTAATGCCAGTGTCTACCTCCACTAGATGTTAAACTACTAGAAGGCAATAAATTCAGCCATTTTTTTCACCATTGTTGCCCTACCATCTAGTACAGCGTATGGTGATTGTGATGTACATTCAGTGATAGAATGAAACATGCTTAGTGAAATGGCAGTAGTGTGACGTCACCCCTACATAGAAGGAAATGATCGTAAGATTCATTACTATGAAAATGTGATTTGTTGAAGGCAGAATCAATATTCTAACACCCAGGTTGTTTTTAGTATCCCTTGTGATATGGATCCATGTTTTAATGAGTATCTTAGGACCTGGTACTGAGAGGAACTGCTTGTCGCCCCAAGGATATGATGTACTGAACTACTTTGCCAGTTACATGGACCTCAAAATCCCTCCACTGAACTGCTTATGCAAATCCTCACTCTCATAAATCTCCATCAGCCATCACTAGTCAAATTATGTTTGCCTGGTGTTTCTCTCTAAATCCGGCAAATCTCTTTCATATAGTCTCTTTGAGACTGATGGGAAGTTAATCGCTCTGTAATTGCTTGCTATGTTTCATGTCCCACCATGAGTCATGTGCTGTGTTCTCATCCTCAACCACCTGATTATTCAACAGCCAACTCCTAGAGCTAGAGGAGCAGGACAGAAATTGGTTAATACAAAACTTAAAATGGCAGGATTCTCTCACATGAATGTAAGGTGGTAAGAAAAAAACACAAGAAATGAGCATAACAGTGAATCGCCTAGATTCATAAAAGTGCAAAATTAAAGTTGCATAGGAGAAAACAGGCTTTTGTAATATGTTAAAAGATTCCATTTGACTTTCTCTTTGCCCTTCTCTTTTTTTTCCTTAAGGAAGCATTTTTCTATAAGCATTTTTAAGAAGAGAACCAAACATTGAAAATCTTCCCCGAAAGATATTTATTTTCCTCAACAAACACTTACTTTTGAAAATATTAGCTAATGAAAACAATGGACCAAATGTTAAAATCAGAGCCCAGAACATGGACATAATAGCCTTATGCAAAATGCATGAGCAAATGGTGTTAGGATGTGTGGGCTTCAAAATGCTATAAAACCTTAAACATGAAGGCACGGTCCTGGAGAATTACCAAAGTACTAAACTAACTTCTAACTTTTTAAAAATCAAGATTTTGTGGAAGACATTTCCTTCTTTAAAGTAACACTTGTAAGACTGGAGAGATGACTCAACAGTTAAGAGCAATGGCTGTTCTTGCAGAGTACCTGGGTTCGATTCCCATCACCCACATGGAGGCTAGCAACCATCCCTGACTTCATTTCCAGGGGAATCTGATAACCTCTTCTTTCCCCTGCAGGCATTTCATAGCATGGGTGCACCCTACCTACATGCAGGCAATACACTCATACATATAAAATAATAAATAATAAATTTTTAAAGATAATTCTTGTAAATACAGGGAATTTGGTCTTTAACTCTTTTTTATTAGTACTCTTTTAAATGTTCTGTAATAAAAAATGTTCAGCCTAAGTGGCCCCAAAATCATTTTTACTTAAGAGTCCATTCGTTGGGTTATAATGAAGTTAAGAGAAATGGGTGTAACTAGGGATGAAAGGAATTAATATATTTGATTCTGTGATGTTTAATAGCTCATTGACCACACAATGTGTGCTCCAAACACTAATTGTTAAGATTCTGTACCCTCTCATAAACAAGTATATGAAACCTATGGGTCAAATTTTCCTTCGGCAAAGCTTAGTCATTATTCAAATGAAAAGTGCAAGGTTTTAGATCCCACCCTTTCTTCAGGCATTTTAGTGCTGTGAGTCAGCCTTAATGGCAGGGCCTGGGACTCTGTCTCCCCTTTAGTACAGCCAGCTACAATTGTACTGTTTATAGAAATAAGACATAAAACAGTAATATCTCCCATGACAAACATCAAGGACTCAGGTGCTTTACAAGTCCAATTTTTTAACATTTTTTAAAACATCGTAACAAATTTGGAAAACAGATTTAACTTTTGAAGGATGAAAATCTTACTCGAGAATTATGGCCTTATTTTTAAGCACCCACAAGAAAAAAGAAAACACTTTTTGTAATCTTGTGAGTAGAAGAAAAAGCCAATTCTCGTTCAAAAAGTGTTGATATGAAACAAGGATTTGGTGCATGTCATTTGCATTTGTGGTGTCTTTGGGGACTTCTGGCTCCTGCCAAAGTTAGCTCCCCTTATCATTCAAGCAAAACTATTAAGCACTTTTTAAAAATCTGTAAATCAAATTAGGAATGAGAGCCGCCCTGTTCTCTTTTGCAGAAGGTCATGCATACAAGGAAGAGGCATATGGAACTGTTTCAGGAACTAAATCAGAAATTTCAAACTTTGGACAGATTTCGGGATATACCAAATACAAGCAGTATGGTGAGTATGCTCTGTGTCACAGTGCCCAAGCCAAGCTGGGCCACATGCAGGACAGAAAGACGCCTTACGCTCCAGGACCCCCAAACAACTGTCCTCAGACAACTTCAGAACACAAAATGGCACACAGAAAAAAATAAGAGCCAAAAATGCTCTGGGGAAAGATGATGAAAAGACTTATTAGGAATGATAGAATCTGTATGCATTTTATTTTTATTTCCAACGCCCTCTTCTATAAGCTTTAGTTAGGATTAGTTAGATATCAAAACATGGCTTCATCTAGCCATTCTGTCATCAAAGTTAAAATTCAGTTAATTCAAACCTCAAAATAGCTGACAAAATTTTTCTCACTTTTATTCGAATGCCTGCCATTTTAATGCCACAAAATATAATAGTGGTATAAATATGAAGCTGTGGACTCAAACCACAAAGATAATCTTAGACTTCCAGAGGATTCTTTGTTTTATGACAAGAGTTTTGTACACTCACCGATATCAGGGATTTGGGTTGTTGGTTGTTAACCATTCCCTTCTCATTCATTCATACCACTGCCATCTTAATATGGGACTTCATCAAATCAGCACTGTGCAGTCACTCAGTGCATGGCACAGTCAGATCTTCAGGAAAGCCTTATAACCACTGGTAAGTGCACTGGACCAGGACTCCAGGAGCCAGTATCGATCTGACAGCACAGCCAACAACTCTGATCTTGAGCAAGTCTCAGAATTCAGCTTCTAAAGCTCAGTTTCCTCTTCCTAAATGGAGCATAGAGAGCAGCAATGGTATGTACTCCCTTAAATCTTCACAGCACCTCAAAGCAGAGGTGAGAACACAGAGTTAGGCTGCATCTGCTGCTGCTCCCAGATCTTCGGCTCAAGTGTGGTATTCGTTGTCCAGTCTTGGCAGCCTGTGGGTGATTCTCCTTCTCTACCAGACAGTAATAGACAAATGATCAATATGTAAGCATAAACGTAGATAATAGAGATAGGTAGGTTGGTAGATAGATGATAGATGATGATAGATGATAGCTAGATAGATAATAGATGATAGCTAGATGATAGATAGATAGATGATAGATGATAGCTATAGATAGATGATAAATGATAGATAGATTAGATAGATAGATGATAGATAGATAGATAGATGATAGATAGATGATAGATAGATAGATAGATAGATAGATAGATGATAGATACATAGATGATTGATTGATAGATGATAGATACAGATAGATAGATAGATAGATGATAGCTAGATGATAGATAAATGATAGATGATAGCTATAGATAGATGATAAATGATAGATAGATAGATAGATGATAGCTAGATGATAGATAGATGATAGATAGATAATAGATGATAGCTAGATGATAGATAGATGATAGATAGATAATAGATGATAGCTAGATGATAGATAGATGATAGATAGATAATAGATGATAGCTAGATGATAGATAGATGATAGATAGATAATAGATGATAGCTAGATGATAGATAGATGATAGATAGATAATAGATGATAGCTAGATGATAGATAGATGATAGATAGATAATAGATGATAGCTAGATGATAGATAGATGATAGATAGATAATAGATGATAGCTAGATGATAGATAGATGATAGATAGATAATAGATGATAGCTAGATGATAGATAGATGATAGATAGATAATAGATGATAGCTAGATGATAGATAGATGATAGATAGATAATAGATGATAGCTAGATGATAGATAGATGATAGATAGATAATAGATGATAGCTAGATGATAGATAGATGATAGATAGATAATAGATGATAGCTAGATGATAGATAGATGATAGATAGATAGATTAGATAGATAGATAGATAAATAGATGATAGATAGATAGATGATAGATAGATAATAGATGATAGCTAGATGATAGATAGATGATAGATGATAGCTATAGATAGATGATAAATGATAGATAGATAGATTAGATAGATAGATAGATGATAGATAGATAGATGATAGATAGATATAGATAGATA